TTTTTTTTTTAATAAAATATTAATAATTTCTTTAAAATTTAAAAGTGGGTACGATGAATCGTTATCAAGCCCCATTGAAATTGAATATCTTTAAGCTAATAATTATATAATAATATAATATGCAAAAAGTAATTAATAAATACTTACTTATTTTGATTTACGAGGAACGAACAAAAATGTTTTCAATTTTTCTTTGAAATTCATGTTGAATACTTATTATTTGAATGTCGAAAATTGAAACAATTTTGTTTATTAATTTAATAGCAAAAGTAGTAAGTGATAAATTGTGATAAATTAATAACATTTTACAACAATAGTAAATCGTTAACAGAAATTCATTCCTAAAAATTGAACGCCCTATCGATGTATTATGTAAACGTAAATACAAAGCATAATTTGTCATGTGCTATCATTGTTTTCTGGTATTTTTATTAGTGATTCGCAATTATGGACCATGGTATCAATCAGTAACGTGAATTGTATACCTCGAAAACAACACAACAAGGTACGAGCTATGGTTGACGAATTTAGCTTTTATGTATAATATCATAATATAATTTTTATATTAAGCAATATGCATGAAATGTTTTAATTGAATCTGAATTTTTACTAAGCCCCCCCCCCCCCATATACGCCACTGATACATAGTATACCCATGAATTTTCAAAATCATGTTGAGAGTATACGGCGTAGTATATTCCATGGGAATTTCACTGTTTACTGGTATATCTCACTTTATCACTTAAAATTCGTTTGTTTGTATATATATTTTTTTTTTTTTGTAATTTCCTAACTTTATATAATTATGTATACTATTATAAAATTAATTATATTAAATATGTAATACTAATAAAATAATTTACACATTCGATAAAAATTATATGTACCAAATTAATTTATTAATTCAAATTCCTTTGGAAAGAAAACTTAATTTAAAAAAAAAATGTAAAATGTATTAAACTTTAATTTGTATATATTTGAACTTTATTTTATATTGATACATATATTGTACTACGAATAAATTAACCATAATTGAATCGTAATTTATTTATGTCTAATTGATTCAAGTTTCATATTATTATTCGGATTCAACTATCGAACCAAAGGAAAATCGAAAAACTTGTTAAGAACATTTCTGTTTCTTTTGATTTTTTCATAATTTTGAAGAGCTGTGGGACACAACAAAAATTTCCCAATATATTAACAAAATGTTTAAGTAAGTATTTGGTAATTAATTGATTAAAAAAATTGTTTTTTTTTTTTTATGACTTTTCTGATTGTTCGTAATATCATGTATAATAAATAATTAAATTTACTAAATTTATTAAATAACACAACCGTAGTTACTAGATAGTTATAATATTGTTATACAATATTTAGAAATCAATTTTAAATATACTTACATTCTAGTAAATTGTCAATGTTAAGTAATTAATTATGGTTCATCAAAAGTAATGTATTTACAATAGCCAGTATAAATTAGCATAGGTACCATCAATTTATCGTAAACAATTTATCACGTATGAGGTTTAACCCACGAAATAAATAAATATGGTACTTACCTATATGAGAACAATTTAGTAATTAAATGGTTTTTATAAATAAATATGCGTGTGTTTAAATTAATTATAACTAATGCATTATACGTATATTGATGTATGTTATTATAGTATATGCTCACTGCTGAAATGCATACAGAACATTAAATTATTATAACAATTAATATACACGATACATTTTAATAAAACGATATAAATACTAATAATAATAATAATAATAATAATAATAATAATAATATAATAAATAAACTATTTTTTTTATTTATTTTTATCAGTGGCGCTGAACAAAATTTTGAATAGCCGGCCAATTTACAACTTACAACCCACCCCACTCAGTGACGTATTGTAAAGGGTTGAGAGTTCAATCCTTTTCAAAAATGCTAAAACTATTTTAGTATTTATGATAGCATTTTTGTACTTAATCGTTTTAAATAATAATTACTAAATGGATAGTATTATAATTTATAGTTAATTCGATTAATTTACTTATTACTTGAACGAATACACTAATTTACCACAACATCACTCATCACCATAAAAATATAGTTTAGTCATAACCAGACTTAAACTCTGAGTTCGGTGCTACTGATTTTTATAATAATATATTTATTGACGTCTAAATAAAGGGCAATAGAATGCACAAAGATTACAATAAGATATAATGAGTATTTTTTGCATAACATACAATAAAGAATTAGTTAAAACATAAAAAAAATTCTTATAAAACTAAATACACAATTTATTAATTAAAAACCCAAGTATTAATGGCAAAGCTTAGATTCATCATTAAAATTAAAGTCAAAGTTTTCAAGACAGTTACAGACCTTTATTACCACATAACATTTACCCTAAATAGGCACAATGAATAATTCAATAATGGTTATAATTCCTATTGGTTAAAGTTCAATTGAAAACTTATACGTATTAAGCATTTAATGTAAATGTCCTTACTATATTTCGTACAATATGTTAAAAAACATTTTGATGATTGTGAAAGTGAATTTATGGCACTTTTTAATAAGATTATTAACTATAAGGGCACAAGAAAATAAAACCACAAAAAAAAGTTACTTAGAGGATACTCATTTAAAAGAAAGACAATTATATTTTAGAACGAAGTTTATTAGCGTTATTAATTTGTGATGTGTGATAGAAATATACTTGAATTATGTAAATGCAAAGTGGTATACATTGAAGTTGAGGAAGAATTTGAATTTAAAAAAAATGGACATAGAAATGAGAATAAAAAACAAATTAAAATATACAATTAATGTATGTACCTATACGAACCAGATTTGGATTCCGATCATCTAGTTAAATAGTTTAAATTTCACTCTAAATGTCTTCTCAAATATAAAAAAATCGTGTTGGCTAGCTGAAATGTATTAAAGGTACAAAAATATTACATACATATCAAAATGTGAAAAAATGTTTACACATTTTTCTGACAAAACTTTTTACAAATAGTGCTCTAGTAAAAGATTATTTTCATAATTTAAAAGAATAAAAAATAGATTACGATCTGCATAGGACCAAAACAATTTAAACACCTTGCGAATATTTTCAATCGGAAGTGATATCACAACCAGTGGCGTCTTTTTTTTAGGGGGGGGAAACAACATGCATATTACACAGTCTAGAGTTTAGATAGGTACTCATAAGTCGGAACATCATCAAAATATAAATACGTGTTTTATAAAGCCATTATATTCAGTGGCGTATACATGGGGGGACGTGGGGGTTAAATCCCCCCCATTAGCTTTTTATTATTTAATTATTTTTTGTTTTTCCTTATATTATATAGTATGCACTATAAAAAAATATTTTGTGATGTGAATCTATCGAGCTATTGAATTTTGACAATTTAGTCAACACTGAAAATCATTATAATTTTATTTTCGTTTATTTATAGCAGAGTAATGTTTATTTGGTATTTTGGTCGAAATGCCAATGACGACTATGATTATACTTTATTATAGCTTATCTTATAATTTATAGAGACAATACTATGTATATAACAATATGTATGTAACCTGGGCTTTAAAATATTATCGGATACTATCGTTGTTATGAGAAAAGAGAATGAGATCATTATCGTTACGGATTTAGTTCACCGCGTATACATAGTACATTCTATTTATTTATCTGAAACCTAAAAAAAAAAGAAATTCACGGGATAATTGATAATTTATTGAACCTATCATGGATTCGTGGAGAAACAGAGTTCATAATTGTACTCACATTTACAAAAATAGCAGTGCCGTCAGACGTCAGATTGTTCCTATTGTTAAATATTTTACTATCTAAAATTTTTTAAAAAATTATAAAATAGTAAAAAAAAATTGTGAGGATGGGAGATTTTTTCAATTTTTCCATCCCATTTAGTTATGTCGTTTTCTTTTTTTGATCCCCCCCCTTTCAGAAATCATGTCTACGCCACTGATTATATCACCATATAAATCAGAAAAATAAGATGTGTAATTATGTACGAAGTACAAATTATTATATTTTTTGACTGATTTGATGTTCCCGTACCCAAACGTTAATTGGCACTTTGGTAAAATAAGCCGTCAAGTTGATAATTTTATATGAGTATACCGACTGAAAAACCTACTCGAGAAAATACTGATAACGCCACTGATCAATCAATTGCCACAGCAATCCTAAATTTTGACAATATTATTAGCAAGTTCTTAGATCAAAAATGCTAGTGAATATTTTTTTAAATCAAATTTTACTTGAAAACATTATTTTTTTTAAATGTATAAGTAATTAAGATCGATATTATAAATGGATTATTTTTTAAAAATGTTTGTTTATTAATCTTTACTTTATATTTTATTAAAAATATTAATTGACCACACTGACAAGTTAAAGTATTCTTTTATATTGAACAATTCATTTTTAACTAAACAATTTGATTCTATGATTTAACACTCATAAGCCATAAATAACGTACAACATAATTTAAATATACATTTTATTTTAGCGTCGAAGGAAATAAAGGTGAGACGTTTTGGGGCCCGAGATTGTAATTTGTGGTGGACCCACGCGAATTGGTAGTAAATCAGACCCTGTACACGATGGCTGTTTTTTAGATATTATTTACTATTTCTCGTTATTTTTCACTAATTTATTGTGACAGGACGTTACACAATATCACCATTCTCCGTTAGAAACGATTACCGACGAGCCGTACGCTCGTTTCGTGTAATTTCGAGAGAGCAACCGGACGAAAAATCGACAACAAACGATCTGCTACAGTCGTACGTTTACGGGCGCACACGCGCAATGGAACGTCGGCCGAACAGTGTACGCCGCAGCGACTGGCGAACGAGCGCGCGCACAAATAGTTCTGATAACGGCGCGCGCCGCCGCCGCCGCCGCCGCCAATCAACGAGTGCGCTCTTCTGCCGCCGCCGGTCGCCGCGGGGGCGAAGACGATCGCAGGCCACAGCTGCTACTGCCGTTGTCGTTCGTTCGCTCGTCCGCTCGCTCGCTCGCTCGCTAGCTCGTCATCCGGCCCGCAATAACTCCCTCCCACCCGCTCTGCCCGTCACGTCGTTCCGCCGCCCGTCGGTCGCGCGCGCACTCGCCATTCAGAGTTTTACCTCGGCCGGCGAGCTTCCAGTCTCCAGACAGTGCTGCACATACTATTGCCCCTACCCCCCACCACTCAACCGCGTCGTCCCGTATTTATCGTTATTGTATAATTTTTTTTTCTCTCCGCGGCGACGCTTCCTAGCGACCAGCCAGTCGCGCGCCGCACGTCGCCGTCGTTCTCAATCGTTATCATACGCCCGGTGTCGCGCGATTCCGTCTCGTTTTTCCATCGCTCTTCGTATTCTGTTTCCCCCTTTTTTTCTTCTCTTTTTTCTTAATCTCGATTCGTTTCCCGACGAACACGCAAATATTTGGTGTTAATTATTTCCCTCCCACGCTCTTGTTGCGTTTACAGATTTCCACGAGTTGGGACGAAACGTTACGAACACTTGAATTAAAAAATAAATAAATAAATAAATATTGAACATACTGTCCGAGTAAATTAAATCGCAATGTTCGTGCTTCAGTTGATGTTGAACGCGCACAGTTAACGTCGGTAGTATTTGTCAGTACGTTTGATCGGTCAAACAGTCACTCTCTTGCCACTTAATCGAATCAATACCACGATGGCCCCAAAAAGTACGTTGGCGTTTGTTTTATCGTTGGTGTTGTGCAACGGGTTAATTGTGTCGGCTTCATACGGCGGTTCGTTTGTGAGTTCTGTGGAAGTGGTCAACCATACAAAGTTCACTCAGGATGATTCCGGAGATTTGTATGTCAATATCACAGTAGCCATGTTGGGCCGAGGACTCAACGAAAATCTTAAAATCAGGCCTACCTCAAGAGTTGCTTTACGTGGTTCTGAATGTTACAAGAATCATCCGATGAAGAATATTGATTCAGACAATCATATTTTCAAACAGGTTATTTAAATTTTGATGTCACAGTAAATACATGTACTTAATAATATACAGTTATTGATTATGTACATTGAATACATTGTTTTTTGACTTATTAAAGTTTGCGTTTTGACTTTAAAAACTGACTCATAAAAAACAAATTATTGAATATAGTACCTAAGCGAGTTATTATTTAATAGTTTTTTTATTAATGATAAATGTTTTATGTGGATAATATTGTATACAAGTTTGATTATTATTAGTTCATATTTTCTTGTTAAACAAATCATTTTTATTAAAAATGATTTATTTTTGCCTAACTTAGTTTATTTACAATATTACAGTACTTAATAAATATATTTGCTAATACATTTCTATTACAGTATATTTATACATTCACTGATCTAAATTTATTTTAAATAAAAATAATGAATTATATAATAAATCAATTCAAATAATCTGTTTTCAGAATATTCTCTTGGCCTGTTTAATCTAAAGTATTTTGAGTGTATTTGTATAATAATACCATTATTACCATTATTATACCATTAATTTACCTTAAGTATTCATTGTAACATATACCTACCTATTATTCGAGCTAGTCAGTTTACTTCATTTATTAAGAAACTACAGTAAACATTTCTCCCCTTACAAAATATTAAATTTACTTAATTTATGTACATAATACATTACAATTTATATATTCTTATTTTTAAGTTATTTAAATTTAAGGAAGTAACTATATTTTTTTTCCATAAAGTTAAAATATTATTTTATTATTATTAATACTTAATTAGTTATTTTTACATGATTTTTTTTTTAAGAATATATAGGCTCTTCATTTAAGGCTTATTAATGGGATTCAGTATCTTTACTTATGAAAAATAAATATGAATAGTAAAAGACAGATTATTTGTTGAATAACTTTAATGATGTCAATAAATAAAGTTCTAGAAGTATAATATAAATATCCAAATAAAGCTAACAAATGCAATACTTGCTTACTGTTACCTCTTTTTGAGAATTTTTGTAAGCACTGATTTTGTATTGTCAAAATTATAATACAGTTTGAATATATAAATAGTCACTTTTCAAGAAATGATTAGTAAAATTAATATAAATTCAATTTTATAATTATTAAAGTATTAAAGTGATTTTGCTGATCAAGATATAGGAAGTTTATGTTTAGATGCCACAAACCAGTTATTTTTTAAATTTACAAAAAATAAAATAAAAGTGTTAAGTATTGAATGAATTTGTTGAATTTTATTTACGTAATTGTATTAAATTAATATTTGATGAATTCATATATGATATTTTTTAAAAATGTGAAGTATAGATCTAGACTACAAAGTACATGTTTACTTATTAACAAACCGCATAAATTCTGTTTTTATTTTATATTTTTAATATGGATAAAATAAAAGCAATATTAAATTGAGTTTGTTTTATTGGAATAATATAAAAATAATTGTTTAAAGTAAGTATTTGTAAATATCTAAATTTTTGAGTTATAACTAACTATTGAAATTCATAAAATGACTATTTAGTACAATTAATTTACCAGAATAAACTTAGTGTTAATGGTAATATGTTTATTATTAATTAATTAGTTAAAAAATGTTATCTATCTTACTAAAATTGTAGTAGGTATGTCTTGTACCAATTTATAATGATTGACATTTTGAAATACACCTTGATATGGTATTTTATTTGTTTGTTTTATTATTGCAATTTTTATGAATATATTTTTATCCAAGAAAAATTTTATTTTATGGTTTTTTACTGTTAAGTTAATTAATATTTATGGTATAAATATATAGTATAACCCTTTTTAACAATCCATTTTTCCATATTTATGATATTTAATCAGTTATTAATTTTTTTAATTAAATAAATTGAGTACATATCAAATTTTTGTAGAATTCAACAGTAAAAATTAAAAATCACATTTAAAATAATAATTTGTTATTAAAAACTTTCTAAGAAACAATCTTATATCATTTATAAATGATTTTAAAATTTCTAATTAATAACTTTTCATTGGGTACCTATAATGCTCATTACAATATATATTGATTGTAATAATATGATAAATAATAATAATATTACAGTACTATTTACAAAATTGGGATAAGACTATATGTTCGTATAAGACTATTGAATTACGAGTTGAATTTGGTGTACACTACTGTATTACTATCACTATTATTATAGTTAAAAAAATGTATTTTCAAGATTTTTAATAGTCTAGAAACTCAATGAAGAAGTATATTTCCTCATTCCTGTTTAATGCTGAGTAAGACTTCTTTAGAACCAAATAATATTACTTTTTATAACCTGTTTGGTCCAGCATTTTCCTTACAATTCATCAGATCTGAAAATTTTATACCATGGAAATGTAATAAGTTATAGCCTTGCAGGATGGGAAAACATTTATTTTCTATAGTGTTTTATTAGCTCGAGACATCACTTTATAGTCTAATACTTAATGGATTTACTTTCATTCTGGTCTAGATAAGCCAGTGATCTTATGGATTTAAAATGCACCTGGCCTAGTATCTTATCTTATTTTATGAGTTGATTAGTACTGGACAGGCCAATAACAAAAAAGTATGTTTCTCATAACTTGGAGAAAATTGTTACTATTTTAAATTGGTTTATTTAATCACTTAAATGTAATTTTATTTATTTTATCTACTAATAAATAATACTGTTCACATCGCCGAGTCATTAATTGGTAATATATTTTGTGTAAAAGAATTATTTTTTGGGGACTCAAATAGATTATAATTTTTAAATAACATAATTATCTATAAATCTAATAAATAATAAAATAATAATAAAAATATTTATTTAGAAATGTTTTTGTTGCATCATTTATGTTAATAAAATGTGTATTTATTTAGCATTAAATTATCTATTGTAGTTGAAAAACTCCAATTCAACTACTTTTATTGATCAAATATTTTTAATTTAAATTCCTATAATTCTTGAATTAATATTACTGTAGTATGTCGTAAATCATTTCTAAAGAACGACACAACAGTATTTAGATATATTCTATAACCATTATAGTTAGTCGATTACAAAATATATTTACAACTATTATATATATATCTTTACTTTCGTATAATTTGTTTAGAAAATTGGCCAAATTCATATAAAATATTTTAGACTTTTATCAATTTAGTTTTTCAGAATACTCTAATATATTTATTGATCTCTAATAGGTAAACAAGATTTTTATTTTAAATGTTAGACAAAATATTAATAGATTGCTTTTATTACTCACAAGCAAAAAAATGAATGACTAAGACTGAAGTGCTTCTTATTCTTATTTGCTTCTTGACAATATACACTGGATTAAATAAATTGGAGAGTATCATCTTATCCTTAGGATCCAATCTAATCCTTTACAAATAAAATGCACTTATATACTTCTTATGCTGAGACACCTGATAATATAAACTGTTTTATTTAAAATGTTCACTAATTATTTGTAATTATATAATTATATAAAAAATATGTATACTTATATATGACACATATTGATTTATATGTTATTGTAATCATATTTTATATTTATTTGAGATTTTAATAGTTAATGATTTTAACGATCACTTGTGATTCTATAAGTAGAATTTTATAATTAGATACGATTTAAGTAAAAACTTATATTTATTTTTTCAATTTTTGTACAATGCAAATCAGTAACTACACAAGAATTTATGAATTTGAAATATCTTTTGGATTTTTAAAAAAAAATCTTTTAATATTTTAATAATATTATGCGATAAAAATTAGTTGAATTACTATAGTCTTAATAATAATGAAAAAATTTATTTACTACTAATATACTACCATTAACGTCTACTATATACTCAAAGTATTATTTATTACAATGTTTGTAATTTTATTATTATTTGATAAATATAAATTACTTTTTAGTCTCTCATCATGCAGAAGTATTTACAATATTAATACATAATTATTTTAACTCTATATTACTAATACGCCCTCATAATTGATAAAAAACATCAACATTTTCACAAAGATATATAATTTCAATATAAAAACAATAAACATTACTATCAATATTTTACAATAATACATAAATTACTAACTTTTGTAATTTTTAATAGAATATTAATATCTAATTACTATGTGCTAAAACATCGAGAAAAATATATTTGAATATTAATAATATTCTTTTAACTTTATTTATACGAATATGTTTTAGGGACGTAAAATGTCGACAAGTTATTAATCTTTGTATACAATAAAGTTCGATAGGTCCAACCGCAACACGTCAAAATCTAAACATTATTTGTAAAGTATGTATCGAAGATTTCTAGATTTTTTAGCATACACCACTAGGTCTTACAAAATGACAAGGTAGTGACGATGATAAATGACACAATTTAAAAATAACTGAAGAAAATGCATTATGTCATTTATGAATATTTTACATATTATTTTAATATCTGTATTTTAAAATAGACGTTTAAAATATTATTTATTTTCTATTTTAGGTTCAGTTAGGTTTGTTATAATTTAGCGCATGTTCTTTTAAGATGAGTAATGAATTTACTTAATTATTATATTTTAATACGCTTATTACCAATTATTTTCATCAAAATCAACAGGAATTTTTTTTTTTGAACTAAGTAAATTTCCCATTAAATCGTTTTTTAAACGTATAATTTTGTAATAAAGAGCATTTTCATTCTTGGTTTTTACATATTTAAAAATATTAGGGTTCCTGTTAGGGTCAAAATGTCGGTATTTTTCGAGTTATTTTTTTCAGTATGTATGTATTACATATTATCTACTGGTAGAATAAAAATATTTTTTAAGATGATATATTATTCTAATTTTGATTGAAATTGAATTCCAGTTTAGTGTACTTACTTGAGCCTGGTAATTTTCTATATTTTGTATTTTTCTGAATAAGTATATTATTCCTTGTAATATTTTTTTACATTTTAATAATTTATGATTACTTTTTATCGATTTATGCA